CGCCCACAGGACTCCATTCGGTTGCTCACACTTTCCCACTCCAGGCCGCATACCCGCGTCACACACCTGGTGCCTAGAATGGTCTCACCACCGGCGTAACTCCTCTTTCTCCTTAAGGTTTCATTCAAACACCACTTCCCCAGAAGTCTCCCTTTAGCACTCTGGAGAGGGAGGCCCTCTTCTTACTTGCTCCCCAAGCAGCCTCTCAGCTGCACTGGGGCGTCACAGTACTGCTGCGCTCATAACCTTTTGAAGAACTACCTCTATTTATTGGTTTAATGACTGCATTCCATGACTGGAAGCTGAATAGGCAAGCATTATGTTTGTCTGATTCACCCCTATATCCCAGCACTCATCATGCTGAGGGCTAACGACGTGGCTGACTCGATAAAAATCTACATCTACTGGATGTGAAAGCCTTCACTGTAAACAAAAATCAAGTTTTCAGCTTAATGATTTGAACTTGTGTATTTGCACTGAACTATGCCTTTCCTTGTTTTAGTTAGTTACAGTTATACTGTTACTTTCAATAATTCCCCTAACAGTTAATGAAGAAGACCGTATTTAAATTTTTGTTAAGTAGTGTGCTTTGGCAACTTATGTTCAATCCCTTCTGTTTTTAGTATGTTCACACTAACCAAAATAATCCTTAGAAGTAAAAGAAAAAAATGACTTTACTGATACTATGAATTTCCAATGGTTAAAATCTGATTCTTCCTCCCTTTGTTCAAGTCAGTGTGACTTTTTGGTAGAAATATTTTCTGATTTCTGCAGAAATAGCAAAGAACTATGATACTTGGCATTTAGTTCCAGAAATAAAACCAGCAGAGGGAGCAAAGGAACATAAAACTAGTTTCCTAGGTCCCCATGGATTAGTAAATGCTATGTTGGCCCGTGGTATTAGGCCAATTCCATCTCTAACCCACATTTTTATACGACCTTCTGTACTATAACAGAGTGATGGGTGAATGGTTAGGACTCTGTATACATACCAGGCTGTCTGCTTCTGAGTGTGGATCTGGACTGATAAGACCCCCAATAACATTCTTGAATGGATCTGGGGTCATCTTAAGGTCTTTGTTTTGGGGTTAGGGAATGAGGAGATTAATCCTTACAGAACCCCTTTTCCCAGAGTTTGGGACCTCTCAGGGCCCAGGATGGGCCAACAATATGTTTGCATCATCAAGGAATCTCTTAGACATCCCTGCTCTGGCTACAAATGAATGAGTTGTGCTGTAGCCAGACTGGCGATGGGTAAATACTACTGCCTATGGATAATAACAGTAAGTTGATTATGTGACCTGTTACATTTGCCTTCATGTCAGTGACTTTCCTGGGCCATATCTGGTCTTCCTCAAAGATATTTCATGATAAAGTCATAGACGAATGCTTTAAACTCTGAGAAAGATGAAGCATAATGCCAAGATGACATTTTATATTAGAACTGATCCAGAAGACAAGAAACCCTTGGGCCACATCTGGCTCACCACACAGCAGTTAAGCAGCAGCTACTCACCCCTTTTCTGGCCTCAAGGCAGCAACAGAGAACTCAGAGCACAACTCTCAGCCGTACAGTGAACGGCTGACTACTAAGGAGCCAGGCTGAAAGCCACCTCTGCCTAAACCAAGTCTGGGAACTACGCAGTCTGGTCACCAGGCCTGCCGAACTCAGCACCTGAATTTCACCTTGGGCCCATACACTCCTGGCTTTGCCGTGTACTCCTGCCACATTTTGAGGAGCAGTTCCTACTAGCTTTCCAATTACACTCTCTATTCTGCTGCCAGAACAATCTTTTAAATTCTGACCAGGTTAACATCTTTGCTTAAAACTCTTTTACGGTTTCTCATTGACGTCAGGCTCATGCCTCAGTGATCCAAACGGACTTTCACTTCCTTTCTGGCTGCCCGCCACCTCAGACTCAGTGTGCCAGCCAAAAGGAGTTACTAGAGTTCCCAGGAGAGCACACTCTTGCAAACCTCCACGCCTTGGACAATGCTGGTTTTCTCTGCCTGGAGTGTTCGCCTCACTTCTTTTTCATGAACTCAACACTCACTCCTTCCCAAATATCTTAGGTCGACAACACCTCTGCTGGGAAGGCCTTCCTGACGCACCCCCACTCCTGCTCGAGCTAAGTGCCTATTCTGTGTTCCTGGAAGTGCCCCATGCCGGCTTCCCCCTGCCCCTGCCGCCATGTCACTCTTTCGCTCCTGTCTCTCTCCCTGGGCTGTGAAGAATTTGAGGAAATAACTGAACCTTTTATTTCCATGACAGGGAGTAGTGGCTGAGATCAACCAGGGAGAGCAATGAGTGTAAAGAGACCAAGGTCCAGGGCAGAACTCACAAAAAAGATCACTAAGGAGACGAGAAAGAGCAGTCAGAGAAGCAGAAGAAAACTGGGAGAGAATGTGTCACAGAAGCCAAAGGGAGGGCTGTTGCAAGCATGAAGGAAGGGCCATGTTGTAAAATGCTGCCAAAATGTTAAGTATGACATGGTTTAAAACACGTCCACTGGATTTAGCAACCAGCAGGTCACTGGCCACCTTGGGGACAGCAGTGTCAGACAAGCGAGAGACAAGCCAAACTGCAGGTGGGTGGAAGGCAAGTGAGACGTGAAGAATTTGAAGAAGCTGGAAAATGCTATCGTTTCAAGAAGCCTTGCCGTTTGCCACAACATGAGGACATTACGCCAAGTGAAAGAAGCCAGTCACAAAACAACGCATCCCATAGGAGTCTACTCTGTGCGGTACCGAGAGCAGGCAAATTCGTAGAGAGAGAAGGTAGAATGGTGGTTGCCAGGGGCTGGGGGGAGGGGTATGGGAGTTGTGCTTAATGGGGTCAGAGCTGCAGTCTTATAAGACAGAAAATGCTGTGTGGATGGATGCTGGTGATAATGAGTGTCCTTAATGCCACTGAGCTGCATGCTTAAAAATGATTAAAATGGTGAATTTTCAATTATGTACATTGTACCATAATTTAAAAAAAGAAAAAAAGCAGCACTGCTGTTAAAAGACTAAGACAAAAACTGCTACAACAGGATACAGGATTGAGAGAGTTTTGTTCGTTGAACAAAAAGCCAAGACATTTAAGCATGTTAATACACTGAGAAGAGTGAGTTAGTCAAAAGAAAGACAAAGGGAATAGTTTTTGATGTGGAGACCCCTGGAGACTCCTGGGTGAGGCAGGAGGGCGAGAGATGAGGAAGGGGTAGAGGAAGTGTGTTTGTTGGGGAGCAATATAGGGCGGACAAGAAAAAAAAATTTTTTTAAGGTTTATTTATTTATCTGAGAGAGAGAAAGAGAGCGCGCAAACATATGTGCATGGGGGGAGGAGGGGCAGAAGGGGAGGGAAAGAGAATCTCAAGCAGACTCCTCGCTGAGCGAGGAGCTGGGGCTCGATCCCACATTATGACCTGAGCCAAAACAGAGTCGGATGCTTAACCAACTGAGCCACCCAGGCGCCTCAAGAAAACATTTTTGAAACTTCTATCTGATCACCTCTGTTTTTCCTTGAAGGAGGAGTCCAGGGAGGGAGCAGGGGCTCAGGGAGAATGGTGAAGGTCTGGAGAAGTCCCGGGGAGTACTGAGGACGTGCGGAGGGACTGTGTGGAGGGACTGAGGCGACACTGGCAGGTGAACTGGAATGCTGAATCTGCAGCGGTGATGGTGGCCTGGGGCTCAGGTGCGACTCATGGCAGGCTGGCGACACTGTGAATGGCACACACGTTCTTCCAGGAGCACCAGGGCACCTGAACTGAGAGTGCTGGGCGGCTCGTGGCTGAAGTGACAGCCTTCTGGAAAGCAAGAGAGGATGGGGCACAGACACGGGGCACAGAGGGACCAAGGACGGACTGGTCAACAAGGGCAAGAGCAAATGGAGCTGGAGGCAAGGTTTAGAAAAGCAGAATATTAGGAGACTGAAGTCAGCAGTGAAACACAGAAGTTTAAGGTTCCTGACATGGGAGAGTTCTGGGTCCCCACCTGGCGAGGCTCAGCCAGGATGTAGGTGGCTAAAAAGAGAAATCCAATTAGGAAGGACCTGGGTCCTTTCCACAGGGGATGCTTCTATGTGTTGTTCTTCCCAGAAAACATAGATAATTAAGATTATTTTTTATGACTCTTTTCCTCTGGATTCAACTTCCTCTCTACTGCATTCCTTTTTTCCCCTTGAGGAAATCCCTCATGATCTAGGTACTATCCCATTTTACATCCTTATTCACCTACTTGTGTTCTTATATGCCACCTAAACTCAGTATGAACCTTGTTCTGTACTAAATCATAGGTTGGTAATCTGTGGGAGACATAAAAAGCCCATTAAGAACCATGAAAACAGGCAGTGACTCATTTCCCAGGGTCAACATCACATATTCAAAATACTAGTAAAAACGAATCACTATCATCTATTCAAGTGTTTCAAAGGCTAAGCATGGATTATTTTATATTACCTTGCTTACATGATCCTGAGCAGATCCTGATTCCCTCCCCAACAAACAAATCCTAAATAATAAAAGAACCCAGGAGGAAGTTAAAAAGGAACCTGTACCTTTTTATGTAGCCCAGCTACCCACAACATATTTATTTCACTTGTGTTATAAGTGGGGGGAGTCTGTCTTGCACACCATCTTCTCGCTCCAAGGATGGAAAGGACAGACTAAGGCAGCTGTATTTTCGGCCTCTCAAGGTCTGTGCAGTTGCCACATGGTCTCAAACAATGTCTCATCAACACACGCCAACACTAGCTTTCTCCAGTGCGACATGACATAGAACCAAATTACCAACATTTTCGAAACAAGACTGGCTCCTTTTTTGTGTTCGCTGAAAACTGTAGAAAATTTTTGACATTATATCTTAGTGAACCATTCTGAAATCAGCTAAATGTATCACGTGTATCCGAGCACACTGGACTCTGTCACTTTCACAACATGGCATCCGAACGCCAGAACACGTGGCCAGTGATATGTCACCGTGAGAGCGGCACACGGAGATTCTGCTTGCAGTCCCACCTGTATGTCCTCTGAATGTTGTGACCAGGGTGCAGCTGTCTTGCTCCAGTTTGAGGATGGTTACTTGGCCTGACTGGTCACCAATAAACACATGCCGGGTTTCAACATCAAATCTATCATGTAAACATTAAGGATGTTTCTCAAAATTGAGTAGAGGGATTTACAAACATAAATCAAGCAATAAATAAATAAATAAATAAAACCAAGAAACGTGCAAATCCCATATGAAGAAAGCTTGGACATAACGCTAAAAGATACAAAAGGAGCCACAACAAAATAAAAGACGCAATATTATGGGACAATAAGACTTCACATGATAATGATGTCATTCTTTATAACATGAATTTACAAAGTTAATATAATCCTTATAAAAATATCAACATATGTTTTTTTCCCAGGGCTGGGGAAGTTTAAGTTCATATAAAAAGTAAATAAACAAGAAGAGCCAGGAATATTCTGAAAAAAGAGCAATGTGGTATGTGATAGGGGAGGTTAGCCCTACCAGATATTAGAACATGTTACAAAATCTCTGTAATTAGAAGTGTGGTATTGGTGCATAAACAAACAGACCCATGGAACAAAATGGCAAGTCTAGAAACAGACCCCAAAGCATACAGAAATGTAGTACGTGTCTGATGAGGGTGGCCCTTCAAATGAGTAAGGAAGAGATGGGCTTAAAAAAAAAAAAAAAAGATGTTGGCATAAACTGCATAGTCATTTGGAAAAACAAAACAGGACCTGTATTTCACATTCTATATCAGGATAAATTGCACATGGCTTGAGGATCTAAATGTAAAAAATTACAAATGTAAGTTCTAGATGGGAGAGTTCCTTTATAATCTTGGAGTGGGAAAGGCTACTACTCAAAAACATAAACAACAAAAAATACCATCAGCAAAGCCAAAAGATAAAATGGAAAAAGTATTTGTAACTTATGTAACAAAAGGCCCAAATCCCTAACACAAAAAGAACAATCAAGAAGAAAGCAACCACAAACCTAATAGAAACATGGGCAAAATATATGAACACATAGTTCAAGAAGAAATGAAGATGAAAATGAAAATGGTGTGTGAAAATGAAAATGTGTGAAATGGGCCTCAATGCTAGCCTTCAAAAGGCTGCTTACAAGGCTGGCCTGGAGTCTCGCACCTTGTATTTCCGGAGGGTCCCACCTTTAGCAGGCAAGAGTGGCCTTAACTGTATACAGAATATGGTTTATGCCAAATACCTGCTTTCCTACTTAGTCTGGAATTTCGATACATATCAGAGACAGGCTGCCTACGTGACCAGTGTCCAGTACAAACCTAAGACACTGAGTCTTTAGTGAGCTTCCCAGGTTGATAATACTTAGCAACCCTACTTCTAGAGATCTATCCCGGAGATACACTGGCCAAAGTACAAAATGCATGCCTGAGGCTATTTGCTCCATGCTGTTTTAAATAGCTAAAGTGTGAAGACAACAAAAAAATTCCATCAAAAGGGCACCTACTGAATTAACTATGATATACCTATGCAATATTAGAGGAAAAAAGAGCTCCATATCATAAGCAAACTGACATGGACGAATTTCCAGGGTACATTATAAAGTGGGGAAAACAAGCCAAGGTACACTATCTTTGCATAAGAAAGAGAGGGCAACAGAAGTGTGTGTGTGTGTGTGTGTGTGTGTGTGTGTACCCATGTGGGCGCTTATTTTACAAAAGGAAGCTCTGGAAGGATAAGTTAAGATCTCACACAAGTGGTTGCCTACAGAGGAGGGAGAAACAAGCTGAAGGGACAGGGCTGATGGTGAGACTTCTCTTGTCATAGTTTCCATTCTGGAGTCATGTCATTATTTTACATATTAAAAATATGTATAAAAATAAAAGAAAAAATCCCCCAAACTGACAACAAAGTACAATCGGTGAACCATAACTATGGTGATCACCATAGTTATAAGCATAGTTAACCATATAACCATAGTTAACAGAATTATTCAAGTGCCTCTAACACAGAGCGTTTCAACTGTACATCCTTGGGAGAATATATTCTAAGGACAAAGAGAACCGCAAGGAAAGCTAAAATCTCATTCCATAGTCTTGGTGCTATAATACCACTATTATTATTTTGAAACAGCTTAAATGTACCATAGGATAAAGCAAATATGTTAATGTTTTAGGGAAGCCATAATTTTCAGCCCCAGGTGAAAGAATCAAGTACAAAAATGAAGTAAAAACCCTAAAATGTTAAATGTGAATTTATTATATGAATTGATGATTTATTTTCTTTTCAGAAATATACACACATATATTTCCTAGCTATCTCTGAATACTACTCCTCACTAAAAGAAACGGCTAATTCAGGACTGGTACAGGAAGGTACAAGATGAGGTTAAGATGTGTTGTGCCAAAAAGCAGGGAAGCTCCCTTCAAAGGCAAGTGGGGTTGTATCAAAAGACACTGGAGCCAATATGATGGGGCTCTTATTGGCCAACGATGGGACAATACTCGCATCCAAAAAAGGCGAATTATTGAAATCTACCAGATATATTATTTTAAAAAAGCCTTAAGAGTTTATAATAATGCTCAAAAAGAAAAAAAAAAGACGCCTATTGGAGGTAACGAGGGCACTGCATCTCTACTCTGAAAATGAGCAATTAAAGAGAAATAACTAAGAATTTATGTTGCTTTTCCCATACTAATTGTATCTCAGGGTAACCAAATAGCCCTAGTTAATGAGGGTAAATTCTACTCTATAGAAGAATTCCAACTAATACATGTGGAAAAAATGCTACAATTACAAAATCGCCATTTTGCGACCCTAACAAAATAACTGGTTCAGGCTAGACCACCAAAGGCAAGGCTGATGTTATAAATTTTTAGGAGTAATAATAGCATTGTGGTTACTGAAAAATTCTGTATTTTTTAGTGATGCACAATTAAGTATGTAAGGATGAGATGACATAAGGTCTAAAATTAGTTTCTGAATACTCCAGCAAGGAGACAGAGAAAGCAAAAAAGATCAAAGAATCAACGCTGGATCTGATGAGTATGTGAGTGTCCATTATAATCTCTTCTCCCAGTTGGTGCATGTTTTGAAAATTTTCATAATAAAACATTTTTTTAAAAGTGAAGGAGAACAAGGCACCACAAATTCTTCCAGTCTCAAGAACAAGGGAGATATATGTAAAACAATATTAAGATTGATATGGAATAAGATCACCTTACATTTACCTAGATTAATTTTAAGGACACTGATGAAAAAACAAATGCACTCTGACACCCAACAGTCTTTATGATGGCAAGTAAATAGTAGTATTCTCTTAAAAAAAATGTAAATGCAACAAAAGCTATTTGAAAGAGAGCTGAAATAAAATTATAGTACAACCTCAAAGCCAGAGTGATTGGCATTAAGCATGATATGAGGAAATATAAAAATCAAGATAATCTTATAGCTTTCCAGTACCCTTGCTCTGAATTTGAACAGATCTTAGAGACTTCTTGGTGAAAAGACCTCGTACTATATAGGGTGACATCTTGGAACTATCTCCAGCATGAATAAAATCTTAAAATGAAGAGTATCTAAATTATTTCTGTGGAAGCATGAAAAATGTGATCGAAACATGGTCAAATGACAAGACTGAAAGATGAAGCTAAATTATTCACAAATTTAAATACTAGTAAGTGAAGTGGGGAAGGAAAACAGTTCTATTTCCTAACATCAACCTGCCATGTGACCTTTGGGAAATACCTCCACTCTACTGTATTTAGTTGCTCAAAGGGCTAGCCAAAAGATTGTAATACCCAAATTCTAATCCTGGTTCTGCCAGGCATTAGTCATGTGATCTTGAGAAAGTCCCTTAACCTTTCTAAGCCTTGGTTTCTACACTGTGAAAACTGAAGATTTGGTCTTTGGTTTTTATTCTAATTATTGTTAAATTGCTTATTGTTGTTAGTGTTATAGCTCTTAATACTTGAAGCTTCAGATCTTTAGCCAAAGCAACCAAAGATTTTGAGGTTATTTAGAAATTGGTAATTCAATTTTTGAAAGGTCGGTCTCTTTGTCTTCCTTTATTTCTCTACTTGAATTTTTGTTATTGTCACTGCACATGTACTTCTCCCCTATAAGGCCAGAAGGAAGAGAAAAAAGGCTGAATTCAACCTGACTTCTATCACTTGCTGACGTGGATGAATGAGTGTGAGGTGGAGATGGGAAAAGGTGGTTCATCTGTGGAAGTTTCTTATGTACGCCACCACTATCCACCAGGAAGAGAAACTGGGGGTACTGATATTCCAAACATTTTATATATATTGTTTCAGCAGATCTTCTTCCTTAAGAAAAGAAACCTGTAAGTATGGTAGGTGGCAGAAAGAAGAGGAAAGAAGTGGGGTGGAGGGTTCCCATGAAGAAATGTGTTTAAAAATTGGATTTTAACGTGAGTCCCAACATTGTATGGGTATGTTAACACTGTTAACAATCTGTGAACCGGGCAGCTCCCAGAAAAAACCCTCCAGCCTTGGGAAAGTCGCATGTTTCCTGCATGTTTCCCTCTGGCAAAAGCAATCCTGTTATTCCATCAGTGTGGAGCACTGGAAAAATATCAGAGATAGAAGGATATAAGGCCATTCTTAAATCAGGAGCAAGGGCAGGCACTGTGAGAGGCAGAGCTGTAGAGGTGAGGGAATCTTCTGGAAGAGCCTTCCTGTAGTACTACAGTTCCCCTCCCCCTTAACAGCAAGGTTGGACTAGATGGTCATTTACACTGGGAAATGAACCCAGAGGCTTTCACACACACACACACACACACACACACACACACACACACACACAGACTTCTGATATCTGATCACACGATTTTTTTCTGCTTGGTAAACCACATGGTGTGTGGCCAAAGGAAATGGTTGAAAAATGAAGGTGACTTTAGGAGATGCCTGAAGAGAAGGGTCAGAGACCACCACAGTCAGGAGACTTTCAGTTCTGGGCATTTTGTTCTGTTTCTCATTTTCAGAGAGTTTAAAAAGTAAACTTCTTAAAGGCAAGATCTGCCTTTTTTCTATATTCCTTGGCTTGGCTAAGTGCTACAGAAGCCAGCATATTACAAACAAATTCTACTGATGCCATTAGTTCTGGTCTCAAAAGGGTAACACAGTATGATGGGAGAAAACAGCAGTCCAAGGCAGAAGACCCAGGTTCTGGTGCTTTTCTGACATACCAGCTGGGTGGCTACAGATAAGACATGCGACCCTTTCTGGGCTTCAGCTGGCTCATCTGTAAAACGAAGAGTTGACCCGGATGATGGCTAAGGGTCTTTCCAATTCTAATACTATAAGAAATCAGTCATCTATTGACAAGAGAGTTCATGTATTTCAGGCCTTAGGCTTGTCTCAACTGGCTTTTAGAAAGTAAACTTTGGAGTTTCTTTTCTTAACAGGTGGTACCACATTCTCAAAGATAAGTTGATCCTGCTTGCCATTCCTTATCACCCTTGTTTCTGGCCTGCTTGGTAACTTGCCATTTTTACAACCTTCCATGATGGCCATTCTTAGTTTCTTCATCTTGCTCTTCCAAGTGAGGAAAACAAGAGAGAAAAATAGGAGCGACACTGGCTAACAAACACACACACACATAAAGCTACTGCTGCACGTCTGTAAGGAGACAGCAAAGTACTTTGTCAGATTGTTGAGAATCACTGAATAGGCATTTTATAAATATAAGATGAACATCTGAAAGCAAGCCTTACTATTTCTTCCCGCTTTTGCTGACAAGTGATCTGCTCCCATGTATTCCCTCATTCGTTGGAAGGTGGAGAGTGATTCTCTGCTTTTTAAACCAAGAAGCTCAGGGCCCGTTATTCCTTACATGGTGGCATCACCCACACAGGCTTCACATCTGTCAAGCCTGTGCTTGCTACAGCCCAGTGGGCCGGACATGAGGATTACCCAGCATTAGGGGGTATTCACACTGGCCATATGGGTCCTGGAGACTTGGAAGATGAGAATTAGTATCACCCTACATATCCTGGAAGGGTTTTGTACCTGGAACAAAGTTTGTACCACTACCGTGTAGATACCAGCTAACCTACTAGTGGTCCTGGCACAGTAGCTTCTCCATAAATATTTAAAAAATAAATAGGAATCTGGTGGTTCTTCACAACCTCAATATCTGTGTGTAAATTACTTCCGCAGGTACAAAAATAAAAGGCTGTCTTTCATTGATGGTTTTATTATCTCCATGTTCCCAAGTTCTTTCTGACCACTGAGGCTCATAAATCTGGGCTGTGTCCTGTCTGGATGTCAGACTTGTGTCAGAGTCACCCCACAACCTGCTCAGCAGGATCTGTTATTTGGGGGGAAATCACCTCACTTTAATCCACCTCCGTGAGGACCCTCCATCATTTGTGTATCGGTCAAGTCAATGAGAATCTTAATCAGCAGGGCAACTCAGCAAATAAAACAAAAAACTTTCAAGTTGCACATACCCAAACTTTTCATGAAAGAAAAGAGTCAACAGCTAAGTTCCCACCAAGGGATTTTTGTCCAGCAAAGGATACTGCAGGCCCGAGGCCACGGCACTGGTACGGTAACCTCCCAGGCGTTGCCCACTCTCCGAGCAGTGCCAGGCAAACTGCTTGTCCTGCCCCGTGCTCAGCACCCACTCCAGCTCCAGGACAAACAGGATCATCGTCACTCTGCTCTGATGTGCTAAAAGCCAAGAGACAAGAAAATAACCCATAAAGCATCATAAAGGAGATTGATAAAGCATGGTCCACAGAGATGCGTCATTCTCTTCTCCCCACCCCAGAGGAAGCTGCATAGTATGGACAGCCATTACACACACAGTCTAGAACAGTGGTTCTCACCAGGGGAAGAGGTATACCACTGTCGAGGGGCATGCCTGAGCTGTTTTTTAAAAAAATGAGACGATTTTTTAAAAACTATCCATTTCCTCCCACCTGTCCACTATTTCCTCCTACCTCCCACTACCCATTTCTTTCCCGCCTGTACCAAATCCAAGTTTACCACCACCCAGAGTCCCCGTTACCAAAGGGCCTGGGCCACCTCTCTCAGACACGATAGAGCTGTTGGACTGGAGAATGTCAGACTCAATGTGACCATAGAACAAGAGAACGCATGATGATCTTATAATAAGTTTATGCAAGCTTAAAAAAAGTAAAGAGCATAACTGTTCTCCTTTTGGTGAAGTATGGCTTATTAAACCCACAACAAAGTTCTAGATGAATTTTTTCTAAGAAATCAAATGCTAGAAAGGAGGGCAGAATTATTCCCAAGTGCCATGTAAAAAAGAATGAAATAACCCTATGTCAAAGTATACATACATGTGATAAGGAGGGCAAATCTCCCAGGGTTGCTCATACACAGAGGCAACACCATCCACAGAATTACCGCATCACACAATTTTATAGCTAGAAGAAATTGTTCATGTCATCTACTCCATCTCCCTATTTTACATGTGGGTAAATTCAGGCACAATGAAGTCGAGTAGTTTGGCCAAGGTCTCATGGCTTCTCAATTATCGAATAAAATCCATAAAAATTTGCTTTCTTCTTACACAGTTCCAGAGGGTGAGGCAGAGGGGGTCCATGGCCACTGAACAGAGTTGACTGGAATAGACAAAGATCGATACCCTGGAAGCCGGACCTCACTGGCCCTGTGCCCAGGAGCTGGCAGTTTGGTGGGCAAAAGCAGACTCGTCACGAGAGTGATGACGTGATAGAGAAAACATCAGTTTCCCATTTTGATCATGAAAATAAAGTTAGTATGGACTAGATGGATCAATGCAGCTCTACTGACAATAACAATATTGCCTGCCAATTTCTGAGTGTCTAACAAGTGCCAAGTACTTAAATACATTCTTTCACTTAGTCATTGTAATGACCCTGCAAAAGTGGGTGGTTTCTTCATCTTACAGACACAACCTGGCCTCGGCAGGATGGCCCTTTTACATTGGCTACCAAACCAATGAGTACCACAGGACAGCCATCCCACCAAATGCCTGATATTTTAAAATCTGATATTTGAAGCATAGAGAATCTATAGGGACACAGAAGGGCTACAGAAGCAATAATACTATGACTTCTCTACAGTAAACACCTGCCTGTCAGAGTATCAGCCACCATTCAAGATCAAAATGTTGTCTTTAACTTAAAAGATATGACTTCTTGGGAGAAACTCCTGAGGATCTTGTCATCAAATGTCCAATTCACGCTCCGCCAATGATGGAATAAAAATGAACTTCTCTAATGGCTCAAGTTTCTCAAATCTATTTCAGCAAGAAAGTAGCCCCCAGCACTTTGTCCCTTTCTCCCATCACTCTCTAAGTCCAAGGGGATGACAGCAGTCCAGAAGACAAGGGGGGTTAAGCCCTCTGAGCTGCCATCATGTGAGGGGAGGAGACAGAGGCTCACAAAGGTTGAGTGACTTGCTCAAATCTGCACAATCAATGAGTGACGAAACGAGAACTAAGACCCTAGGCTCTCTGCCAAAGTTGATTCTCTTTCTGTGTCAGGCTGCCTAGGACTACTGAAAAAAACAAAGAAACAAGCCCCAAAACTCAGAGCACATACTCTTTTCTAAGGTGACAGAATTCTTTCATTCAAAAAGAAACCCTTTAAAGGTATCACTAAGCTTCAGAAATGTGGGCTTGAAGTCTGGCTATACTTCTTGAATAGGAAGGCTGAGAGAAGACATCCTTGTCTTGTTCGTGATCATAGAGGGAAAGCATCTCCTTTCTCACAATTAAGTACAATGATAGCTGTAGGTTTTTGTAGATGTTTCTTTATGGAGTGAGGAAGTTCGCCTCTATTTGTAGTTGGCTAAGTGTTTTTATCACGAATGGGTGTCAGAGTTTATCATATGCTTTTTCTGCACTAATTGATATGATCATATCATTTTACTTCTTTAGCCTTTTGATGTGATGGATTATACGGATTTTCAAATGTTAAACCAGCTTTGCATATCTGGAATAAATCTTGGTCATGGGTGTATAATTCCTTCTATATATTGTTGGATTTGCTAGAATTTTTTTTTTTTTTAAGGATTTTAACATCTAAGTTCATGAGAATTACTGGTCTGTAGTTTTCCTTTCTTATAGTGTCTTTGGTTTTGGTAACACTGATTGGTTTTTAAAAAAATGTTTATTGAGGTAAAAATCACCATTTAAACCATTTTAGAGTGTATAATTCAGTGGTTTTTAGTATATTCACAATGTTGTACAATCATCATGGAAAAATGTACTATTTACAGAACATTTCCATCACCCCAAAACAAACCCACATCCCCAACTCCTCTTCCCTTATCCCTGGGCAACCACTAATTACTTTCTGTCTCAATGGATTCCCTTATTCTTTTTTTAAAGACTATTTATTTATTTATTTGAGAGAGAGAGAGAGAGCACGCGTGAGCACAAGTGGAGGGAGGTGCAGAGGGAGAGGAACAAGCAGACTCCCCGCTGAGTGGGGAGCCCGACGTGGGGCCTGACCCCAGGACCCAGAGATCATGACTTGACTTAAAGTCAGATGCTAAAACAACTGAGCCACTCAGGTGCCCCTCCTCCCCTATTGCTGACATTTCATATAAATGTATTCATATGGTCCTCTGAGTCTAGTTTCTTTTACTTAGCGTGTTTTCAAGGGTCATCCACGCTGTAGCATGTATCAATACTTCATTCCTTTTTTGTGGCCAAAAAATAATTCATTTTTTTGTTACACCACGTTTTGTTTAACCATGCATCCATTCATGGACATTTAGCTTATTTCCACTTTTTGGCTATTGTGAATAATGTTGTTATGCACAATGGCATGCAAATATGTTTGAATCCCTCCTTCCATCTTTTTTGGGTATAAACCTGGAATAATCCTTGCTTGGTTGTGATGTACTATCCTTTGTATATGCTGCTGCATTTGATTTGCTAAAATTCTGTTTAGATTTTTTTGCATCTGTTTTCATGGGGAAGGCTGGCCTATATATTTCTTTTCTTGTACTGTCTTTGCCTAGTTTTAGTGTCAGGTAATGCTGACTTCAAAAATCAGTTGGAAAGTCTTTTTCTGAAAGAGTTTGTGCAGAGTTTGTATTGTTTCTTCCTTAAATATTTGATAAGATTCACCAGTAAAGCCATCTGGGCCTGGGGTTTTCTTTGTGGGAAGGTTTTAATTATAAAGTCAATTTCTTTAGTAGATACAGGGTTATTGGGGTTATCTATTTCTTCTTGAGTGATCTTTTGCAATTTTTACCTTTCAAAGATTTGTTCATTTCATTGAGGTTGTCAAATTTTATTGGCATAAAGTTGTTCATAATACTCCTTATTATCCTTAAATATCTCTACAATCTCTAATACTATCACTTTCCTTATTCCTGATATTGGTAACTTGCAACTTCTCTGTCTCTTTTCTTTCTGGTAAGTCTGGCTAGAGGTTTATCGCTTTTATTCATCTTCTCAAAACAAACAAAAACAACAGTTTTTGGTGTCACTGATATTTATTTTTTGTTTTCTATTTCATGAACTTCTGCTATGATCTCTCTTCTCTTCTGCTTGGCTTTGTTTCCATTTGTTCTTTTTTTTTTAAGATTTTATTTATTTATTTGAAAGAGAGAGCATGAATGGGGGGAGGGGCAGAGGGAGACACAGACTCCCCACTGGGTGGGGAGCCCGAGAGGGGGTTCGATCCCAGGACCCCAGGATCACAACCTGAGCCGAAGGCAGACCCAACAGACCAAGCCACCTGGGCGCCCCTCTTTCTGGTTTCTTGATGTAGAAACTAAGGTCACTGATTTGAGACCTTTCTTCTCTTCCAACATAGGTGTTTAGTTAAGTACTGCTTTAGCAGCATACCATAAATTTTGATATGCTGTTTCCATTTTCATTTCTTCTTTGACCCATGGATTACTTAGATGGCCCATGGTTATTTAGCTTCCTAATATTTGGGGATTTTCCAGAGATATCTGTTATTAACTCCTGCTTCAATACCATTTTGACCAGAGAACACACCTTGCATGACTTGAATTTTTCCAAATTTACTGAGACTCGTTTTATGGCCCAGAATGTGATCCACCTTGATAAATGTTCTGTGTAAAGTGGAAAAGAATGTGTCTTCTGCTTTAGTTGGATGGAATGTTCTACAGATGTCAATTAGAGCAAGTTGGCTGTGTACTGTTCAAGCCTTTTATATCTTATTGATTTTCTGCCTACTTATTGTCAATTATTGATATATTCGATCAATTATTAAGAGAGGAATACTAAAATTTCTGACTAAAATTGAGGATGTGTCTATTTCTCTTCCTGAAGTTTCATCAGGTTTTGCTTCACATATTTCAAAGCTATCTTTATTAAGAGCATAAACATTTAGGATCGTTATGCCCTCCTGATGGACTGACCCCTTAATCGTTATGAAATAATCTCTGGTAATATAATCCTTTATCCCTGGTAATATTCTTTTCTCTGAACTCTACTTTGACTACTATTCACACAGCCACTCCAGGCTTCTTTTGACTACTGTTTGCACAGTGTATCTTTTGCTATCCTTTTATTTGTAACTGCTTTATGTCTTTATATTTAAAGCACATTTCTTGTAGGTGGTTTACATTTGGGTCTCCTTTTTTTCATTCAATCTGATGGCCTCTGGCTTTTAATTAGCCTTAGGCCACATACATTTAATACGGTTATTGATAACTGGTAGGTTTAAATCTATCACCTTGCTATTTGTTTTCTATTTTCCCATGTGTTCTTTTTCCTTTTCCTCCTCCTTTTTTTTTTTTTTGGTGGGGGGAGAGGGGTTCATTGAGAATGATTTTAATGATTCCATTTTATCTCCTTGGTTGGCTTGTTTGTTGTAACTTTTTGATTTGTTATTTTATGGTTGCTTTAGGGCTAGAAGTATACATCTCTAACTTATCATTGTCTTCCTTCAAGTGATTCTGTTCCACTTCATGTGTAGCATAAGCATCTTACAATAGTATATTTCCATTTCTCCCCGGGTCTTGGCTTTTGTATTACTGATGCCAAACATTTTAATTTTACATGTTAAGACCCTCGTGCTACTTTATTATTTTTAGTTAAATAGCAAATTGTCTTTTTTATAAGATTTATATAGTAAGAAAATATCTCATAGTAACCACGCCTGGTGCTCTTTATCCTTTTGCGTAGATCCCTATTTTCCTTTGGCGTCATTTACTTCCTTCCTGAAGGACTTTCTTGAACATTTCCTTTAGTGCAGGTCTATGAATTCTCTCAGTTTTTTATGCCTGAAAAAATTTTTATTTCACCTCCATTTTTGATATCTATTAATATTTACTCATAGTGGATTGATTCCTTTTAACTTTTATAATTTTATTTTTATTATTATGAATTCATCTTAAGCAGGGCTTGTTTTTGCTGTGGGATATTTTTGTGACTTGTCTTCTTGAAGAGAGCTTTTGAATTTACTTCTAGCAGGAACCATGAGGCTACCACTGGCCCAGGACCAATTTTTTATGTTAAATTCTTAAGCTGGAGCTTCTAGCACTACATGAATGATTTAAATTTGTATTCCAAATCCAAAATTTTAGGTTGCAAGTTTCATTTATCTGGAAGATTCTTCCATCTATCCAGATCTGAGATCAGGAATAAATTATGCTATGGTCTTCTGGGCCAATAAGTGGAGAGTTTTAATCCTCTCCTTTTCATGGTGATACAGCCCTTTATGCATTTCATCTTTATATGTAAATATCAGTCGCAACTTCCCATCTCACTCAAGCCCTAGGTCTCATCTTCTGTCCCTAAGTCAATGTTCATACAAAAGCTTCTAGCTTTTAGAAGTTCTATTTTTCTCCCCAAGATAGCTGCAGTGTCAGGTAGTATGCATATCACTTTGAGTTTTAGTTCTCTCCTTGCTTCTGGTACATGGGACTCTCCCTCTTGTTTCTCTCATGGGCTTATTAGCATTGCATTAAAAAAAAAATTAATCACAACTGGGATTTCAAAATGTCTTGATAAGCTGAGATGATGGACCAAATAAAATGAGATGATGAATAATCTGTAGTCCAGCATTTAGGCTAAAAACAAAACAAAACACCCCCCACACCAAAAAAGGCAACAGCTTCAAAAGTACAGTACCCAATAAAAACTTAAGTGAAAACCATTTAGGGGTTTGAGTTGACTGCTCCACATGAGCCCACAGTGTAAAGTGGCTGTCAAAAGTTCACCCTTCATGGAACAGTGACCAGAAGAGGAAGGAAATACCATTTTGTAGTTATCACATTACATATGTATATTGGTCATCTACTGTACAAATTACACCAAAACTTAACGGCTTAACACAGTAAACATTTATTATCTCAGAGTTTCTGTGGATCAGAAATCTTGGTGCAGCTTAACTTGGTGCCTCTGCTGAAAGGTGTCTCACAGGATGAAACCGAGGTCATGTGGTGGGGCTATGGTCTCATCTGTAAGACTGACAGAGGGAGGACCTGCAGAGTTCCATGTCTCTCATGTTGACTAGATTCAGTTTCTCATAGGCTACTGAGCTACCGGAGGGCTTCAGTTCCTTACCAGCTACTGATGTGGCCTCCCTCAATTCCTCATCACATAGGCGTCTCCATAAAGTAGCTCATAAGATGGCAGCTGGCTTCCATGAGAACCAGCAAGAGCAGGAGAGGGCAAGCAAGATGGACTAGTCTCTTTGTGACCTAATCTCAGAAGTGACATCCATCATTTGCCATATTTTAGGTCCAGTCTACACTCAAGGGGAACTGACACTCAAAGGCATGAATAACAGGAGACAAGATCATCAGGAGCCATCTTAGAGGCTGCCTAGCACAATGTGTCACATTTTTAAAAGGCTCCAGAGGTAGAACATGATATCCAAGACAACTAAAAAAAATTTTTTTAAGAACAAAAATTCAGGTCATGTAAAATGTTTAGGCTAGAAAATAGAAGAGATAAAAGGGGCGAGGAAGAGACCAGGGTGGGAACTTTCATGGCTGTTTTAAAATCACTGAAAAGCTGTCATCTGTAAGAGAGATTGTACTTAGTTTCTGTGGCTCCAACAGGCTGAACAAAAACCAAAAGGGGAACATTCTAGTATTTATAACATAACATTTTATTGACCTGGTTATCTGTTTGTAACTTCTACATAATTATAAACTGCTTATAGGCAGGTACTATAATGTCTTGTTTACTATTATAATCCTCAGTTACTGAACTCAGTAGGTATTCAATGAATACTTGGTTAAGTGTTATATGAAAACAATTAAAGAACAAATCCAGAGGGAAATGAATTTTGGCTCAAAATCTAGAAATAAAGAACTTAATACTTAGAATTTTACAAAAATCGGGATGGGTTGCTAGGTATGTCTCTGGAGATATCAGGAGAGTCTGGATGATCACGCAGGATGGATGAAGTCAAGAAATGTGGATGAAATAACCTCTAAGTCTTAAAAGATCCACCTCTAATGTTCTGATCCTCTAACATCATTGGTCTAGATAAATAAATCATTACAGAAAATGGCTCCTGATCCATCTATGGTACACTGCCAATGTTGAAGACGCATGAAAACCTTAATTCCTTTCCCTTAGACAACACGGACATTCTAGGCCTTTTAAGATATTTAACCAAAAATGAAATGAGCCCCATGTAAAGTAGCTCACTCCTAACACTGACCCCACTTCTCTGCATCTGCCGCACTGCTTTGAGGTTGTGTGGTGTGGCAGAGAGACAAAGGACAAAGGTCAGAGGTTCTGGGGTCACAACGACCCAGTCTGGTTCTGCACTTTACAGGACCTCAGGCAAGTCACCCAACCTCGTTAGGCCTGTTTCTTACTTCAAAGACTCGGATAATATTCACCTGAAAGGATTGCTCTGTTTTGCTCCCACTGACTACTGTAAGGTGAAACCTTCAAGAAACATCTCAAAATCTAGGTAAAAACACTGCTGTCTCACTCCTACCTTGATAGTTTTTCACAGGAGTCATCTTGTTATAATCTTCTGATAAAATAAACTCCTGCAAAAGAGAAGAAAAATATCAAGCAAAAAGAAAGTCTTTAAGTGAATAATTAGGTTTCGATAAAACCAGACTGCATAAAGAAACATCATCACAGAATTACATCCAACATTAGTATTTTGCCAATCAACTCAGCATTTTTGTACATCTTTAAAAGTAACAATCATAATTATGATCTAATGCAATTATAATTTTTATATTGTAACACTGAGGTTGGTTTTTTGTTTGTTTGTTTTTGAGTATGTGTGAGAAGAAAACTGGATCAAGTTCAGTGTCTTGACACTGTCTTGTCAATTTTGAAGATAACCCTCATTTAACTTGCTACAGCTGAAAATTTGGCCAGTGAGCAAACGGATGGCAATCCTCTATTAGAGAAGCAAATTAGGTATTTTAAAAGATTGTTTCTAATATCAGTAACTTATTTCTCCTTACAATAAGCTTCTCAAGGGTGCATCTTACTCATCCCTAAATCCGTATGGTACATGGCACAGTGTCTTGGATAGTAAGTAATCAGTAAGTATTGACCAAACAGAAATGTGAAGGGCATCTCCCAATCTCATGAGATTAATTTGAATGTCAAATTTACTCAAAAATAGTTTCTATATAATGCATTGTATATACTCTTTGTGAGGACACATAAAACATGAGTGGGTGAGTTTGTGTGTGAGTGTGTGTGCATTCTTCACCTAAGCATCTACATATACAATGACCTATATGTAGAAGCCAATCAAGTGTTTATAAGCCCCAGCCAGGTTTTGAGTCCTTTAGCTTCTTTCAAATGCAAAATATCCATGTACTCTTAAATAGTAAGTTGTCAAACAAGGAAAGCTGCAAAGGGTAACAAATTGATGCCTTCATCTGAGCTTAGAAACAGAACAATGAGTCTTTTCAAAACATTTGGAGGCTTCCAGAATTTTTCCTTGAGGACTTAAAGAAAGGTGTGTGGGAGGACAGATGTGTAAACTCCTTAATTGCTATCTGGGTATTTACTGAGCTGATACAGTGTAAATTTTAGAAGAAAATGCTTATTTTATTGTTTTTGTGATAGATACCACAAAGGTAAGTATGAGGTGATGTGACAGAATATAGGAGGTAACAAAGTTCCTCTGGGTGTTCACTTTCCTACCCTGTCCCTCCTTAAGAAGCTTATCTACAAAATGGATTTTCTTCCCCATGATTTTCTCAGTAAAAACATTACTCAACTTGTCACTTTTTAAATTCCTATCAGTATTCCTTCAAGAAGTAGCACTATGCTCACTTCTCATTTCTTTTTTAAAGTCTTTATTTATTTATTTGACAGACAGAGACACAGCAAGAGAGGGAACACAAGCAGGGGGCGTGGGAGAGGGAGAAGCAGGCTCCCCACCGAGCAGGGAGCCCGATGCGGGGCTTGATCCAAGGATGCTGGGATCATGACCTGAGCCGAAGGCAGACGCTTAACAACTGAGCCACCCAGGCGCCCCTCACTTCTCATTTCTGAAGAGTTAGACTTACAATGAAGAGTTAGAGCAGACCAATTTTTAAAAGTAGTAAAGTCGTTCTCCCATGAGAAGCTGATGGTGTGGGTAAGGAAGCTATGCACGCATCTAGGCCTCGACTCACTACCACCCTCAATCCCAAGCAAGAGTAGCTTGATCCTGAGCCTCCCACTTTAGAGAGCCCCAAATTTCCTCACATACACGATGAATAAATTTATTAAAGACCATTATTATTTAGGCAAGTGTTTGCTGAGTTCATAGAATTCATATATTACTTTGATTATACTGAAATTGTTCTCTAGCGTGGGCAAAAGGTCACTCAATTCCTTTCAGGACAAGGCAAGGTATAAAATGAAACAACTGGATGCAGATCTGTATTTAGAATCAACATATTAGAATTAACAAACACAATAAAATTACCAGTTCACTGCATTGGTACACTTAATTTTTTTGTTTATTTGCTTTTCCTATGAAAATAGAAACATATAATTATGGAGAAAATTTGGGAGATTTTGTCAGGCTTTTTTATTCTTATTTTTTTTATCAAAGAAACAATAAGCTATTTTAAAGAAATGTAAGAGAGACAGGCATTTAAAAGTCCCTTGTGATATTGTTTCTCAAAGATAACTATTATAAAAAGTATTATTGGAATAATATACATAATAAAACAAAATATTAATACTTTTTAAGTTGTTTTTAATTTTAATTCTAATATAGTTAACATACAGTGTCATATTAGTTTCAGGTGTACAATATAGTGATTCAATACTTCTACACATCAGCTGGTGCTCATCACAAAGGCACTCCTTAATCCCCATCATCTATTTCCTCCCCTCTGGTAACCATCACAGTGTGTTCTCTATAGTTAAGAGTCTGTTTCTTGGTTTGTCTTTTTTTTTTTCTTTGCTCGTTTGTTTTATTTCTTAAATTCCACATTATAAATAAGATCACACGGTATTTGTCTTTCTCTGACTTAAAATGTTAATACTTTCTAACAAGGCTTTTTTTCTGTTAACAAATCATGTATATCATTTCACATGAGTACATGTTTATCAACTTCATTCTTTTTGTGTGTGTGTGCTGTTTTTTTTAATTTTTTATTTTTTTATTGTTATGTTAATCACCATACATTACATCATTAGTTTTTGATGTAGTGTTTCATGGTTCATTGTTTGTGTATAACACCCAGTGCTCCATGCAGAACGTGCCCTCTTTAATACCCATCAACTTCATTCTTTTTAATGACCGCATAGAATGTGCAATAATGGTCTTCTACTGGTAAATGCTTACACTTCCAGTTTTCCATATTTAAAAATCCTACATTCAATATATTTTATCTTTTTACATCTCTAACAATATTTCAATGAAATAAAGTTCTAGAATTGTTGGATCAGAGGGATGACCATTTAAAATTTGACCATTAAAATTTGATAGATACTTTCAGAGGGGCACCTGGGTGGCTCAGTCGTTAAGCGTCTGCCTTTGGCTCAGGTCATGATCCCAGGGTCCTGGGATCGAGCCCCGCATTGGGCTCCCTGCTCCGCGGGAGGCCTGCTTCTCCCTCTCCCACTCCCCCTGCTTGTGTTCCCTCTCTTGCTGTGTTTCTGTCAAATAAATAAATAAAATCATTTAAAAAAATAAATAAAATAAAATTTGACAGATACTTTCAAATTGACTTTTTAAAAGATTTTTATCTATTAACACTCACAATATAACATGAAAGTATGGCTATAGCCTGGAATATTTTGTTAGGTTTAACCAATCAAAGCTCAGTAGATTGAAGATGTACACATTAAACAGTTTTTTAATCCATCTTTCTATCATCCCTTCTTTACATTCAACTATCCATATAGCTATCATCCTAACTTTTTTTGAATACTTAATTTTTTTAGAGCATTTTTAAATTCACAGCAAAATTGAGAGGAAGGCACAGAGATTCCTCACATACCCTCTGCTCCCCTCCAAAAGCCTCCCCCATTAAAATCTCTCACCAGAGTGGTACATTTATTACAAATGATGAACCTACACCCCTTCCAAAGTCCATAGTTTACCTTAAGGTTCATGCTTGGTATTGCAAATTCTGTGGTCTTTGATAAATGGATATTGACATGTATCCATATTATAGTGTCATGCCCTAAAAATCCTCTGTGCTCTGCCTATTCATCTTTCTCTTCCCACCTAATCCCTGGCATCACTGATCTTTTCACTGTCTCCAAAGATTCGCCCTTTCCAGACTGTCATATAGTTGGAATCATAGAGTTTGTAGCCATTTCAAATTGGTTTCTTTTACTTAGTACTATGCACTTAAGTTTCCTCCATGTCTTGTTATGGCTTGATAGCTCATTTCTTTCTAGCACTGAATACTATTCCATTGACTGGATGTACCACAGTTTATCCTTTCACGTATGGAAGGACATCTTGGTTGCCTCCAAATTTTTGTCAATTATCAATAAAGCTGCTATAAACATCCATGTGCAAGCTTTTGTGGAAACACAAGTTTTCACCTCCTCTGGATAAAAAAGCAAGGATTGCTGGGCTGTATGGTAAAAGTATATTTAGTTTTAAAAGAATGACCAAAGTAGCTGTACCACTGTGCATTTCCACTAGCAATGTATGAGAGTTCCTGTTGCTCCACATCCTTGACAGCATTTGGTGGTGTCAGTGTTCTGGATTCTGGCCACTCTAATAAGTATGTGGTGGTATCTCATTTTAATTTGCATTTCTCTGATGACATAGGATGTGGAGTATCTTTTCATATGCTTACTTGCCATCTGTAGATCTTCTTTGGTGAGGTGTCTGATAAGGTCTTTGGCTCACTTTTAATCTCTTCTTGTTGAGATATAGGAGTTCTTCAAATATTCTGGATAACTCCTTTTATCAGATATATCTTCTGCAAATATTTTCTCCCATTCTGTGGCTTGTCTTTTTATTCCCTTTACAGTGTTTTGCAGAGAAGAAATGTTTCATTTTAACGAAGCACAGTTTACCAATTCTTGCTTTCATCACACCTATGCTACAGTATCTAAGATGTCATCAACAAACCCAAAGTCATCTAAATTTTCTCCTATGTTATCTTCCAGGAGTTTTATAAGTTCTGCATTTTACATTTAGGGTCTGTGAGTTATTCCAAGTTAATTTTTGTGAAGGGTGTAAGGTATTGTCTAGATTTATTTTTTTTACATGCAGATATCCAGTTCTTCCAGCACGATTTGTTGAGAAGACTATTTTTTTCTCCACTGTATTTCTTTTGCCCCTCTGTTGATTTTATTTATGAGGTTCTATTTCTGGGCTCTCTGTTCTGCTCCACTGATCTACCTGTCTATTTTTTCACCCATACCACACTATCTTGATTACTATAGCTTTACAGTAAGTCTTGAAACTGGACAGTGTCAATCCTTCAACTTTGTTCTCCAATATTGTGTTGGCTCTTCTGGGTCTTCTCTCTCTCCATATAAACTTTAGAATCAGTTTGTCAAGATCTATAAAATAACTTGTTGGGATTTGGATTGGGACTGCACTGAA